GGGAGGTTGGGGAATGGGAGGATGTTTCTAGTGGCCCTAGTCCAGGCGGTTTTCACCCAGATCTCTTCTGTGCTGAATCCAGTCATGAACACCGAGGCCTCAGACAAGCAAAGGCTGCACCCAGTTTGCAGTAGAAGAAACTGGTTGCCCTATAATGGCGGCCAGGGGATAGATGGCCCAAGGTGGGGGGTCGGGTGGGGGCAGATTTGTGCTGTGCTAGATTCTCAGTGCTTCCCAGCCCCACCTCTCCCCTCCCAAATATTTGGCAGGAAAAACTTCCAAGAGCCAGTGCCTCCCACCTCAAGTCTTCAGGACCCACTCACCTTTGGAGGGGCAATTAATGGACCCCAGGGTTTAAGGATTGACCTGGCGGGGGGGGGGTCCTGAGGAGTTAGATACGGAGTTTTAATTCGCTCCTCTCCACTCCAACTCGGGGCACAAGTCTGTCCCTTCCAACCCTAGCTGGGGACTCCGTCCTCCTGGCCCATGGAGCCCACACTCACCAGCTCCATCCTCAGCGCCATGATCTTGTCCCCCAGGCCCTGGTCGTGGCCGGTGCTAGGAGCCCCCGGGAGCAGCAGGGCGCCGGGGGTTCCCGGCTCCCATTCGCCTCGCAGCCCGCGGAGCAGCCCTTCAGGGGTCTTCCTGCCCACCTTGCCCTCCACATCTCGCAGGTCAGGCGTCTGGGATTCCGCAGTCCCCTCCATGCGGGCCTACGGCTGAAGAGGACCGGGCGACCGGACGGCGGGGTCTCGTTCCCGGGGTTCTCCTTTCCGCGCTGCTGGTGCGGAGCCGAACCGGTGGGTCCCCGCGGGCGCCGCGCGGGGGCGGGCGGAGGGCGCCGTAACACTCAGAAAAGCCGCGCAGAGCGGGTCTGGGCGATTTGTACTTGAAAGAGCACTAGGAGAGTTCAGTGCCTTCTCCCCACTCTGCCTACTGAATCCAGCCAGTCACACAGCAGGCGCCCAGTAAGTGTTTGCTGAAAAAAGCTAAGCATCCTCAGTTAGGGATATGGGCGTTTAAGGAACAGTGGTGACAGAAGCTGCAGAAGGTTTTGAAAGGCTTCTTGGAGTAGAGGGGCTGGGTCTACAGCAATGGTTAGAATTTAGCTAGCTACTGACACACACATACGCTTTCAATGTAGCCACTGAATTTATTTTTTATTTTTTTAAAGTTTATTTATTCATTTATTTTAAAGTAATCTCTACACCCAACATGGAGTTCGAACTCAGACCCGGAGATCCAGAGTCACATCTTCTTCTGACTGAGCCAGCCCAGTGCCCTGTCACTGAGTTTAAAGAAGTAGAAAATAACGTTCTTCTGGCCAATGAGAAGCAACCAGTATTGAAGATGAAAAGGTCCACATGGGCCAGATCATGCTTGATCCTGTAGACTGATGTTTCTTAAGCTTGACTGTCTGTGGCTATGAATTTTCTGCGAATCTTGTTAAAACGCAGAGGGTGATTCTGTAGATCTGGGAAGGAGCCTGAGGTCCTTTTCTAACAAGCTCCCAGGTGATGGCCATGCTGCTGGGCCAGGGACCACACTTTGAGTAACAAGGTTATAGAAGATAGTTCTGTGGTGCTTGGATTATATTTCATAGGCAATGGGGAACCATAAAAACTTTTTTTGTTTGGCTTGATTTGGGTATTTAATCCAAGTAATTCCAGTGCGTGGTCACAGAAGGATTTACAATGTAAAGATAGTTAACTTGCTCTATCCTTTTCCACTCTAGCCCCACTCCCCGGAGGCAACGACATTCTACTATTTTTTTCTGGTGTTTATACATATAACCCCACATACACTGGGGCGCCTGGGTGGCTCAGTCGTTAAGCGTCTGCCTTCGGCTCGGGCCATGGTCCCAGGGTCCTGGGATCGAGCCCCACATCGGTCTCCTGGTCTCTCTGCTCAGCAGGAAGCCCGATTCTCCCTCTCCCACTCCCCCGCTTGTTTTCCCTCTCTCGCTGTGTTTCTCTTTGTCAAATAAATAAAATCTTTAAAAAAAAAAAAACCACATACACTTTTACAGCACTACTATTTATTAATTTTAAATATTGTCTACTGACTTCCTGTTATGATAAATATTTATCTCACACTCTGTACTTGCCCTCTTCCATTGACCTATATATTTCTATCATTATTTTTTAGATCATTTAATGGTTATCTCTGTAACCTTAAGTAAAATATTTTTCCTTAGTATCTCTTGGTCCACAGAAGGGTTATCAGAGGTTAAAAAAACAGATTTGCCTTTTTGAAAAATTACTCTGGATTTTGCAAGGGGAAAGGATTGGAGGGGTACAAATCTGGAGTCAAGGAAACTGATTGGAAGGCAAGAAACTGAAATGGACTGGACCAGGGGCTGGTTGTGAGATTGGAGAAGAGTTAGGCCAGAATGGAGAACTCTTAAGGAGGTAAGATTGACAAGACTTGCTGACTAGTTACATTCATTTATAGTGGCATTCATGAAGCCTTGTTCAAGAAAACAAATGATTCCAATAAATATTATGGAGGGTCTACTATTTGCTAGCCAGTGTGCGTGGTACAGAGAATACAATGATGAGCAAACATACCTGGACTGGTTGCTGGAGAAGAGGATTCATGGGTGACTCTCAGCTGTTTGGCCTGATGCCATTCAAAAAGGAAGGGAACCCAAAAAGAAGTCTAGGAATGGGAAGAGATGATCACAGCAGGGTTTGCATTGAGTTGGAGGGTCCTGTGAAGATTTCCAGCAGGCAGTTGGACACAGGTCAGCCTAGGGCTCAGGAGAAATGTTAGGACTGCAGTTATGAGTGTAAGAATCTAGGCCATAATAGAGGTCAGGAGAGTGGATAATGCCTGGATGGCTCAGTTGATTAAGCGACTGCTTTTGGCTCAGGTCGTGATTCCAGAGCCCCGCATCAGGCTCCCAGCTCAGCGGGGAGTCTGCTTCTCCCTCGGACCCTCTCCCTTCTCATGCTCTCTCTCTCAAATAAATAAATAAAATCTTAAAAAAAAAAAAGATCGGGGCGCCTGGGTGGCTCAGTCGTTAAGCGTCTGCCTTCGGCTCTGGTCATGATCCCAGGGTCCTGGGATCGAGCCCTGCATCGGGCTCCCCGCTCCGCGGGAAGACTGCTTCTCCCTCTCCCACTCCCCCTGCTTGTGTTCCCTCTCTCGCTGTGTCTCTCTCTGTCAAATAAATAAATAAAATCTTAAAAAAAAAAATCTACCATGAAGAGTGAGACTGAGCAGTGAAGATCAGGGAGGAGCCCTGAGGGACATCTTTTTCAAGTGCTAATAAAATGTGTTAGATTTTCTCTAATACATACTTATAAGGAATAATACAAAGAAAAATGGAAAAATCACTCATGTTAACATTTTGGGGGAGACCATCCCACCATTTAGGAAGCAGGTGGAATATGGAGAGCTCAAAAAAATCTAACTGGTTTTTTGGCTTCCTCCGTTTCCTTTTAAAACATTCTCCACAAAACAGTAAAGTTTCTCTTAAATAGGAATATATCACTCCTCTGCTTAAAACTTCCCTACCTACTCACTTCAAATAAGCATCACTATCATCTAGAAACGTGTTAGAAACGAAGTATTCTGTTCTGCCCCAGACTATTGAATCGAAAACTCTAAAAATGGGGCCCAGTAATTTGTGTTTTAAGATGCCCTCTGAGTGATTCTGATGCAAGGTAAAGTTTAAGAACCACTGTGTTAAGCTAAGTGCATTGTATGTATTATCTTATTAAACCTTAAGGACCAACTCTGTATTATTCCTGTCAATATAGGGCGGCAGGTTAAGAGTGGAATTGAGCTGGGATAACTTGGTCTGAATTCTAGCTCTCCCAGCTTTGTGACATTGGGCCTCATTACTAATAGTACCTATTTCATGGCTGTTGTGGAATTAAGTGAGTTGATGTAAGTAAAGCGCTTGGAACAGTGACTGGCATAGAGTAAGCATCATATAAGCATACCCCCATTTCACAGATTAGGGAATCCAGGCTGAGACGTGAAGTGACTTGCCCAAGGTCTAGGGTAGTGTTAGAAGTAGATTTTTAATTCCTCTTAGCCTGCAAAGGCATACCGCAGACCTGGGTTCAGCCTTGCCCAAGCAGGGAAAGCGGTAGCAGTGTCCGAGGCCTGTAGGCCCTCTGACCCTGGCATCCCGAGCGGTCTCGTCCAAGGCTCTGGGACTCTGACTTGAATCGGGTTTGCCATCCACGATGCTGGGGGCCAAGGCTAAGGGCGGGGGGTGCTGCTGCTCTCCCCCAGCGGCCACCCTGCCCGCCAGTTGCGAAGCTGCCGGGGTACTAAGTACTCGCAGTACTCGCCGGCTGCAGACACCCGCCGCCGCCTTCCTAAGCACCGCCCGCCGCCCTCTCACCCCGCGGCGGCGGCGGCGGAAGCGGGGAGGCGGGCCGGGCCGGGGCGGGGCGGGGCCGCGAGCGGCATGGAGGAGGCGGAGGCCGCGGCGCGCCGGGCGGAGCAGTGCGGGCCCGAGAGGGGCCCGAGCGGGGCCCGGGCCCCCTGAGCCGTGAGTCCTTCTGGGCGGGAGTCCCGGAGGGGTGGCGCGGCCGGTGCAGGTCTCTCGAGTCCTCAGGGCGGCCCCGAGCCCTGGAAGGAGAAGAGTGGGGCCAGATAGGAGAGGGCGAGGGCGCAAGGAGGTGGAGGATTGGGGGCCAGGGTTGGGGGGTGGTGTCTGTGCCCTTTGCCCACCCCGGGACCAGGAAGGCCTGGGGCTTGGTCCTTTTAGGGGCTGCTGAACCTTGAGAGCTGATTACTTGGCCTCTGCTCTGGGGGGCCCTGGGCAGCTCTGCCAGTTACCCCAGCCCCAGGGGAGTTTCCAGGTGATCTGACCCCTCCGAAGGGTTCCTTTCCAGAGCAGTTGAGCCACTTTTCCCAGGTCACACAGCCTGGATGTCAGCGGGGAAGAGTTGCTGGGAGGTCCTCCCTGGTCTCCTCAGAAGGCATCAGACTTTGGGAGGTACACCCTACTCCCTCTGACCCTCTGGTCCTCTCAGATTCCTGAAGGCATGGGTTGGCCAGGACAGTGGTGACTCCCCAATCCGGCATGGACGACTGGAAGCCCAGCTCCCTCATCAAGCCCTTTGGGGCTCGTAAGAAGCGGAGCTGGTATCTTACCTGGAAGTATAAACTCACCAACCAGCGGGCCCTGCGGAGATTCTGTCAGGTATAGAGATGTCCCAACTCCCCCAGGGGCTCCCTCCCAGCTTTACCCTAGCCTAGACTATGGGCACTGGGACCTACCTTGGCTGCTCCCAACCCTGGAAAGAGGCAGCAGGTTCCTAGAGAGGAACCCTCTTTGTGTCATCACCCCTACGAGGTGGTAGTTTGGGCCCAGAGTTCTGGAATCAGAACCCAAGTATAACCCCCTAGGCTTCTGACAGAAACCTGAAGTCTGATCAGAAAGGCTCTGCTCAGGGGCACACACCTGTCAGGCAGTCAGGACTAAGACCCAGGTCTTCTGATCCCCATCTTGGTTCTCTGGGACTGGCTCCATCTCTGGGAACTAATTGTGGAGGGGACCAAGGAAATCAGGGCCTCAAATGGAAGAATACAGGAGCTCTGGGTAAGGAGGGCCCTGATGAAGTGAGAAGGGTCAGGGGTGGTTCCCTGGAGGAGGTGGTCTTGAAACTGGACCCTGGCTGGGGGGAGTAGAACTGGACGGACAGAGGGAGGAAAGACATGCCCCAGGCTCTCCCTATGTCCTCACTGCAGCCAGGGCCTTCCTTTCAGGAAGACCCTCAGTGATCTGGAGGGGCACCCCTCCTTAGTCATCCCTACCGCTCCCCTCAGACAGGGGCGGTGCTTTTCCTACTGGTGACCGTCATTGTCAACATCAAGTTGATTCTGGACACGCGGCGAGCAATCAGCGAGGCCAATGGAGACCCGGAGCCAGATCAAGACTATGGTGGGGCCAAGCTGAGGATGGGATTGGCTGGTGGGGTGAAGGATGGGGGGGGGGTCCCCTAGGATCTCGCAGCTGAAAAGATAGGCAGATCGCAAGGGATAAGACTGCTGGAGAAACTATCTCCATAACCTATTGCACCCCCACAGAGGAGGCCCTGGGCCGATTAGAGCCCTCACGGCGCAGAGGCAGTGGTCCCCGACGGGTTCTGGATGTGGAGGTGTACTCAAGTCGCAGCAAAGTATATGTGGCAGTGGATGGCACTACGGTGAGTGGGCCCGTGTCTGGTGTAGCGTCCCTGTGTTCTTCTCAGGGTGTGGTCCCCTGGCTCTGGGATCCACTGCCTGAGTGGGTACTGCATCTCTGCCACTTTTGAGCTATGTGGCTCTGGAGACCTCAGTTCCTTATCTGTAGGCTGGGACTAGTGACTTCTGCTTGTCAGGATTAAGTGAAAAGTGTGTGAAATGTGTTACATGTAGTGGGATCTTATCAAAGGTGCTCATTAGCAGTAGTAGGCAGATAATTCATTGATTTATTTATTTTGTAACTATTTTCTGGTCCCTTCTTTGGCCTCAGCCTTGTCTTGGGCACTGGGGACCTAGGGGATAATCAGACCTGGCTCCAATTTGAGGGGCTCTATCTGATGGATTATGATATCCCCAGCATGAGGAGGAGACATTCAAGGGCTCTAAGAGCCTGAAAGCCGTGGAGAGGAGGTTTGTAGAAAGATCTGATCTCTTTTGATGGGTAAGTTGAGGAGTTTTTCTGGAAGAGGTGGCGTTCAGGCCGGGTTGGGAAAGAGCTGTTCACAGAAGCACAGGCAGGAGGGGAGGTTTCGTGCAGCTGGTTTTTTGAGTTCCCATAAGACAGAGACCTTGAATGCCCGAGTGAAGAGCTGGACTTGGTCTCTGCCGCCCGGTAGGTGCTGGAGGACGAGGCTCGGGAGCAAGGCCGCGGCATCCACGTCATCGTTCTCAACCAGGCTACGGTGAGATTCTAGGGGTGGGGGGCCTGGAGGGCTGAAGCTGAGCCTTCCTTGCTGGTGACACTTACTCACGAGCGGTATGTCCCCTGCCAGGGCCATGTGATGGCAAAGCGTGTGTTTGACACATACTCACCTCATGAGGATGAGGCCATGGTGCTGTTCCTTAACATGGTGGCACCTGGCCGAGTGCTCATCTGCACTGTCAAGGTCAGTGACTCTGCCCCCACCTCCACCTTTGCTCACGGCTCTGGGTTCTCTACCCCTAATAAAGCATAGTGGGGGAAGGGGGGCACCTGGGTGGCTCAGTCGTTAAGTGTCTGCCTTCAGCTCAGGTCATGATCGGATCAGGTCTTGGGATCGAGCTCTGCATTGGACTCCCTGCTCAGCCAGGAGCCTGCTTCTCCCTCTCCCACTCCCCCTGTTTGTGTTCCCTCTCTAGCTGTCTCTCTCTCTGTCAAATAAATAAATAAAAAATCTTTCAAAAAATAAAAAATAAAGCATAGTGGGAGGAGCCTCTGGAGGAAGGTAATACAGGTTCCAATCTTAGCCTTGTCATTTTTATTTAGCAAGTAGTTATTGAACACCTGCTGTGTGCCAGGCACCGCCCTGGGTGCTGGAGATACAACAGGAAGCAACCTCTATGGAGCTTACATTCCGTAGGGCAAGATCAACAACAAAAAAGCCCAGTACACGTATAATGTCAGGAAACAACTTGAACACAATAAAGCAAGGGGGACAGAGTAATGGGTGATGTATTTTATTTTATTTTTTTAAGATTTTATTTATTTGACAGAGAGAGAGACAGCGAGAGAGGGAACACAAGCAGGGGGAGTGGGAGAGGGAGAAGCAGGCTCCCCGCGGAGCAGGGAGCTCGATGCGGGGCTCGATCCCAGGACCCTGGGACCACGACCTGAGCCGAAGGCAGTCGCTTAACCAACTGAGCCACCCAGGTGCTCATGGGTGATGTATTTTAGAAAGGGAGGGTCTCTGTAAGGAAGTGACATGTGAGCAGAAAGCTGGAGGAAGTAAGGAGAGGGCCAGGTGAATATCTGGAGGAAGACTGCTCTAGATAAGAAGAGTGGCGAGGGGGCAGGCCCTGAAGTGGGAAGGTGCTGGTGTGCTTGAGGAACTGCAGGGGTGCTGCTGGAGCTGGAGATTCAGGGAGGGGTGGGGAGTGGTGGGGAAAGAGGGTGGAGGGTGCGACCTGTGTGGGAGCCTGGTAAGGATCTACTAGCCCGCTGACCTTGGATGATTCTCAGAATCTCCCTAAGCCTTCAGTTTTCTTATGTGAAAGGATAGTAACCTCAGAGGGGTGTCGTGACCGTTTCATGAGCTAATTTAAAATAAAAGGTTTCGCATGGTGTCTGACACAGAGTGAGTGCTCCGTGAAGCCAGGTCTCCCAGCACCATGCCGGTCAGCCTGACTACCTTCTCTGGTCTCCCAGGACGAGGGCTCCTTCCACCTCAAGGACACAGCCAAGGCTCTGCTGAGGAGCCTGGGCAGCCAGGCTGGCCCTGCGCTGGGCTGGAGGGACACTTGGGCCTTCGTGGGACGCAAAGGAGGTACCGGCACCATAGGCCATCCACCCTATAGTATCGGGCCCGGGAGGAGCAGAACCCCAAGAGATGGGGTGGAGTTGGGGGCAGAGAGGAGCCAGAAGTGGTGGGCTGGATGAAAGTGGGCAGAGAGATGGGAAGAAGCTTTAAAACTGGAGCCTGGGCCCCCCTTGTGCCTCATTCCTGTCCCCTGCTAGGTCCTGTCCTTGGGGAGAAACATTCTAGGTCACCTGCCCTCTCCTCCTGGGGGGACCCAGTCCTGCTGAAGACAGATGTGCCGCTGAGCTCAGCTGAAGGTGGGGTTAATGGGGGCTGGGCTCCGGGGCAGTGCCTGGGCTGGAGGCGGGCATTTGGGTCCTAGTTATGAAGCTTTATTTTCTTGACTGGGTGCCTGGCGCTCTGTAAACCACACTAGCCTTGAGCCCCCTCATGCCTCATTCCATTGACCCCATCCCTTCCTCAGAGGCGGAGTGCCACTGGGCAGACACCGAGCTGAACCGTCGCCGCCGGCGCTTCTGCAGCAAAGTGGAGGGCTATGGGAGTGTGTGCAGCTGCAGGGACCCCACTCCCATCGAGTTCAGCCCTGACCCAGTGAGTGGGGACTTAGACAGTGAGGCTTAGACTCCTTCTCAGCTTGGCAGGGGGATCTAGGAAAGAGCCACGTTGGGCTTTGCCGACCGCAGCCTGAGAGGGAACCAGGACCTGGGGATTTACGCTGACCTCTGAAAGACGGGTGTGTGTGTGGCGGGGCGTTAGGGCCATGTGAACAAAGGCCCGGAGTTGGAGTTGGGTTGAGTGTGTGGAAGGGCCCGGACAGGGAGACCCTCTGTCATTTCCCTCTCTACTCCGGAGTCGCCTGCTCCCCAAAGAACTCTTCCCTAGGTGGGGATCCCAGTTTGAAGAGGGAGTGAGGCAAGAGCTAAAAGCTGTTTCTCTCTCAGCTCCCAGACAACAAGGTCCTCAACGTGCCTGTGGCTGTCATTGCAGGGAACCGGCCCAATTACTTGTATAGGTGAGCCTGGGAGTGGGCTGTTCCAGCGCTGAACAGGAGGGTGCTTAGCACGGGGGAACCTCGGGCTCATCGGCCTGCAGGAGGAACTCTTGCAGTGGGAGGAAAAGCAACAGATTCTAGGCCCATTCACCATGGGGGTGAACAGGGGGAATGTGAGCCCATTTGTAAGCACGGGGGTCCCTGAGTTGTGAGGACAGAGAGGCCTAACCCATCCCTGGGCTCCCCAGGATGCTGCGCTCTCTACTCTCAGCCCAGGGGGTGTCTCCTCAGATGATAACAGTTTTCATCGATGGCTACTACGAGGTGAGTGGGGTTTGGGGGCTACGGGAAAAGCAGAGCCCAGGGTTGCGGGTGCAGAGGAGCAGTGATCACAAGAGAGACAGCCCATGCAAAGGCTGTGAAATGTGAATGGCTTGGCATGACGGAGCCTGCAAGGTGGATGGACAGGGGGCAGGTGGTTCACATGGTGACCAGTAGCCATGCCCCCCAGGAGCCAATGGATGTGGTGGCACTCTTTGGTCTGAGGGGCATCCAGCACACTCCCATCAGCATCAAGAACGCCCGTGTATCTCAGGTACTGCCTAGGCAAGGATGGAAGGGGCAGACACCTGACCCCGCCGTCCACCCCAAGACTCATGTGCCCTATTTCCACTCCCCACCCAGCACTACAAAGCCAGCCTCACTGCCACTTTCAACCTGTTTCCGGTGAGTAGTAAGGACAAAACCCTTGGACCTGGGGAGGGGAAACATGGTATAAAGTCTGGTTTTATTAGACAGCAAGCTCTTCCCCTCTCTGGGCCTCAGCTTCCTGATCTGGAAAATGGGAGTAGTGCTGCCTGGAAGTGAGATGGGGGTAGAGGAGGCACAGGATGGGAAAGGCCCCCTGGGGGTCATGCTTGTCCCCCCTTCCCCCGCAGGAAGCCAGGTTTGCCGTGGTTCTGGAAGAGGACCTGGACATTGCTGTGGATTTTTTCAGGTGAGGGGAGTGCCCCTCCATAAGTTGCCTCTCCATGCAGCCTCTGTCAGCTGCCTCAGGCCTATTTCCTTAACTGGGTCTCCAGAGAAGAAGGCACGGGGTGTTTGGGAGAGCTTTGTGGGAGAAGTCAGCTCAAAAGTGGGGGAAAAGCCTGCACAAAGGTAGGGTGGCAGGTGTTGCGGTTGGAGTAGAGAGTAGAAGGGGTGGGTGGAGACAGTGGGACTCTGGGGGCCGGGAACAGCAGGCATGACTCCTGAGTCCCATCTCCAGCTCCCCCAGCATCACTTTGTGATTGCGTTTGTCCTTGCCCTTCCCTGAACCCTTGGACCCTGCCTCTCTCAGTTTCCTGAGCCAGTCCATCCACCTGCTGGAGGAGGATGACAGCCTGTATTGTATCTCGGCCTGGAATGACCAGGTAAGCCCAGGGGCCGGGGGTCAGCTGGGGAGTTGGTACAAGCACCAAGCTAAGACCTCCCACCACACCTCCCTCTCCGCCCGTTCCCAGGGATATGAACACACGGCTGAGGACCCGGCACTGTTGTACCGTGTGGAGACCATGCCTGGGCTGGGCTGGGTGCTCAGGAAGTCCTTGTACAAGGAGGAGCTTGAGCCCAAGTGGCCCACACCAGAAAAGGTGCCCTGGCAGGGTAGGGGGAGTGGGCTGGGGTCCCCCACCAGCTCCAAACCTCTTCACCTTTGTAATCTTCCATGCCCCCAGCTCTGGGACTGGGACATGTGGATGCGGATGCCCGAACAACGCCGGGGCCGAGAGTGCATCATCCCTGATGTTTCCCGATCCTACCACTTCGGCATTGTTGGCCTCAACATGAACGGCTACTTCCACGTGAGTGGCAAGCCGGGTGTTGCGGAGGCGGGCACAGTGTGGTAGACCAGGCAAGACGACGGACTCCAGAGCATTCCCAGCTCTGCCACTGACTAACCTGGGGGAAAATTCTGTATCCTCTTTTGCCTCAGTTTCTTTATTTGTAAAATGAGGATAAAAGTACTACCCACCTCATAAGGTTTTGAGGTGATGAGGTTTAAATGAGTTACTATATGGAAAATGCTTTGAACTGCAAGCATTATATAAGGGTTAGCTGGTATTATTTTTATTATTACTATTCTTAGCACCAGACTCTCGGTGTGGGGAGGGTATTTCTGCCACCAGGCACTTAGGCAGCCCTGCAGGCTCTGCCTTCTCCTGTCCTTGCAAATGTGGGGGGCCAAGCCTCAGCCTGAAGTGAACAGGGACGTCCTCAGGCCCCCAGGCCTTAACCTGGCTGCGTCTAAAGGGCCACTCCCCAGTTACAGCAAGAGTATGCCTTGAGACAGCCCAGCCCAAAGGAGCAGATGGATGGCTTGGAACCTCCTAGAAGCCGGCAGGACCGTGAGAGGCTGGCTTATACAAGAGAGGGGCAGGCGTTTACCTGAGGTCACTGTCAGTACCTTAGTCACAGCACTTTCCTTCCTCTCAGCACAACCTGTTCTTTTGCCCACCAGGCCCTGTAGGGCCCGCTCTGGTTTCTGTGGCCCTACAACAGCAGACCCAAGGACAACCACTGGGAACAGGGACTAGCTCGGGGGTCAGTAGCATGAGCTGCCGGTGTGGGCATGAGCTCTCTGGCAATGGTGGAGCCCAAACTGAAGCTAGGAAGAGCCTGCCAAGGATGCTACAAAGAAGAGGATGGGGAAGATGGGGGCGGTGGTTGGGGGAACCTCTGTGGGTCCAGGACTTCATTTGTGGGCCTTGTGGATATGTGCTGTGTCAGTGGGCAGGTGTGGGCCTGCCAGTGGAAGGCCTGATGTTCACCCTCACGCCCACTCCAGGAGGCCTACTTCAAGAAGCACAAGTTCAACACGGTGCCAGGTGTCCAGCTCAGGAATGTGGACAGGTGGGGGCTGGGGACAGGGCAAAGGGGAGGATGTGTAGGAGCCTTGATGACCAATCCCCAGTATTCCCTTTCAACCCTGGGGCCTGGTTTTTTACCCCAGCCCTGCTGCCACCCAATTCCCATGTGGTCCCTTGCCTTGCCCCTGGAACCCTGGAACCCAGGTGACCCCTTCCCCTGACCCATTTTTCCTTCTCCTTCAGTCTGAAGAAGGAAGCTTATGAAGTGGAAATTCACAGGCTGCTCAGGTATGGCCTCTGGCAGTAGGGATATATGGCAGGGAGCGAGGGGGCAAATACTGGGGGTCTTGGCCCCATAATGTTTGGGTCCCACTGCAAAATGAAAATCAGGGCACCTTGTTCAAAAATTAAGAATTTTAAGACAGTGACTCCCTGGGCGCCTGGGTGGCTCAGATGGTTGGGCGTCTGCCTTCGGCTCAGGTCATGATCCCAGGGTCCTGGGATCGAGTCCCACATCGGGCTCCCTGCTCCTTGGGAGCCTGCTTCTCCCTCTGCTTCTCTCTCTCTCTCTCTCCCCCCCTCTGTCTCTCATGAATGAATAAATAAAATCTTTAAAAAAAAAAAAAAAAAGACAGTGACTCCCTTGCGCCCACTCGGGCGCCCGGCCACGTCGCCCCCAGCCCTGCAGCCCCGCAAACAGCGGACCCCGCCCGCAAAGGGGGGACCAGAAAACGGCACCGGGGAGACCGGGACACGAATCAGGATGAATTGAGGGAATGAATTGAGAAGGAAATTCAGGGCTTGTGCCGCATTCACCAAAGTCAAAGGAACGGGTGAGGGTCCAAAAAGTTGGTACAAGGGAAGTGTTGCCGTCAATATCATCAGATCATGATTTATTTATTCATGAGAGACAGAGACAGAGAGAGAGGCAGGCTCCCAAGGAGCAGGGAGCCCGATGCGGAACTCGATCCTAGGACCCCGGGATCATGACCCGAGCCAAAGGCAGACGCCTAACCATCTGAGCCACCTAGGCGCCCGTGTTAAACTTTTTAAGGGACAAAAAGGGTAGGATAACAAAGATAAGATATATTCTAATTCCATAAAGATTTTGGTCAAGTCTTGGCTCATAAGTAATGTTACAAACATCATTAACAGGTCAACTCTGGCTTATGTCCAGGTGAAGAATGTGAATACCTTGCTAGATAATATAACTTATAAAGAGGAAGAGTGGTTAAAATTGTACATCAAATATAATTTTGAGTAAAATGCATTTACGTGACCACTCTGTTTCATAAACAAATTATTTCGTGTTAATGCCTGATCGTTCATAAACTAAGTTGACTAACAAAGAATGCAACAGACTTGTTTCTGTAATCACTAAATGCAATTAGCAAAAGAACGTTTTTAAAAGGCAGTGTAGCTAAAAGGTACATTATGAAGTATTTTGTTTTCTTTGGATGGCTTATTTTATCTGCGTTAGATTTAAAAGCCCTAGTACCCTTTAAAGAAATTTTAATAAAAGTGAATTTAACAAAAAAAAAAAAAAAGAATTTTAAGACAGCAACAGCAGAGCATTAAACTAAGCATCGGGCCTTGGGTAGCACACCTGTGACACAGGCTCCGTCTTGGCCTTTCTCCCCCACCCCCTGCTACAGTGAGGCTGAGGTTCTGGACCACAGCAAGAACCCTTGTGAAGATTCTTTCCTGCCAGATACAGAGGGCCACACCTATGTGGCCTTCATCCGAATGGAGAAAGATGATGACTTTACCACCTGGACCCAGCTTGCCAAGGTGCTCCACCAACACACCCCACCCCAGGCTTACTCCTCCCCACCAGACACAGGGAGCCTTTGTTCTGGAATCTTCTGCCTTAGAACCTTCTCTTCCTACTCTGGGAACCCCTCTTCCAACCCTTTTGTCCAGTTCCATATTCTGGAAGATGCTACATCTTGAAAATTGAGGAGACTGCTGAGTAGGGGTAGGGGCTGGGCCAGGGGTCCTCAGTGCCCCCTCCCCACAGCTCTCTGACCCCTGCCTCTCCCCTCTCCCCCACTTCTACCAGTGCCTCCATATCTGGGACCTGGATGTGCGTGGCAACCACCGGGGCCTGTGGAGATTGTTTCGAAAGAAGAATCACTTCCTGGTGGTGGGCGTCCCAGCCTCCCCCTACTCGTGAGTGACTCTTTTCTGCGCTGGGAAATGGGACACTAGTAGGATTAGAGGACAGAGCTAATTACCTCTTCCGGGCACATTTTCAAATTATCTTCCCAGGGTGAAGAAGCCACCATCAATCACCCCAATTTTCCTGGAGCCACCCCCAAAGGAAGAGGGAGCCCCAGGAGCCGCAGAACAGACATGAGACCTCCTCCAGGACCCTGCAGGGCTGGGTACTGTGTACCCCCAGGCAGGCTGGCCCTTCACCCCATCCTGTAGGATTTTGTAGACACTGGTAGGGGTTGGGGCTGGCTTGTTTTTAACATGAGACTTAATTACTAACTCAAAGGGGAGGCTTCCCCTGCTCCAACACCCCTGTACCTGAGTTGGAGGTCTATTTATTTACTTCCCTGTTGGGAAGGGGCAGGATAGTACCTGGGAATCTTTGGGCTCCCTGGGCAGCTGATCCTGCCCTTTGCACACTCCCTCCTCCCAGGCCTGGCTCAGAATCTAACCTATTTATTGACTGTCCTGAGGGCCTTGGGAACAGGCTGAAGCCTGGAGGGCCTTGATTCCTTTCTCGGCTGGGGTGCTGCCCTGAGGGTGGGGCTGGCTCTTACTCAGGAACCTGCTGTGCCCTGTGCCCAACCCATGGACAGGCCCACTAGGGCCCTCCTGCTGATGCAGACTCACTCAGAGACCCTCGGACACGGAACCAGGCCTCTTCTCAGCCTCCCCTTTGTCCAGGTTTCCAAAGCTGGATAAGGTGGTCATTGATTAAAAAAGGAGAAAACCTCTGGGGATGTGCTTTATGATTGTGGGGTGGGGGGGGTGGTATGAGTGAGAAAGAGAGAGAGAGAAATAGATAAGTAGGAGAGAGAATGGTCGTGATGGATAGTGAGTTTTCTTTACTGTCCTCCACAGGCTTTAGCTTCCATTTGGGGCCATTTGGCCACCAGGGGATGCCCAAGTCTCAAACTCCAAGATTTTTCTCTAAGCTCCACCTTAGGACAACTGAGCCTGACCTTAGCCCCACCCTACTTGGGGCTGAGGTTAGAGCAGCCACCCCAAACCCCTTCCCAACAGAGCTGTTAACCTGCCTAGCTTCCTGCCTAGCTTGTCTGGGCAGGTACCTGTCCCCAAAGGTGGAGCAAGAGAGCAAAAAGAGATACTTGGGGGTGGGGGAGGCGATGGGAGAGTAGGTGAGTCTAGTAGGGATAGAAAGGAAGTGGGTGAGACAGAACCGGGGCGGCATTATTCAGGAGGCTGGGACTGGGCTACAGATAGAAAGTTATAGGAGCAAGGATCTGTGGCCCTCAGGGTACTTTGTATGCAGATTACATACCTAGGCATTTTTCTGGAGAAAAGCCATCATTTTCATCAGATTTTTACCCAGCCAGTGACCCAAAGAGAGGAGGAAGATCTAACTTAGATAGTCACAGAAACATCAGGAAATGAAGGCGATTGTCTGGAGGTAGTGGATGAGAAAGCCTAAGGCAAGGGGCAGGACATTTAAGGGATCTGCACAGGACTTAGGATCAGGGAGGTGAGTGTAGAACACACCTCTTGAGAAGGGGTCAGCCTGCAGAGTCCTTTCAAGGTGAGGCAGGGCAGTTCCTTATAGAGAGCCTTGGCCAGGGAGGCAGGAACTGACTAGAACTCCTGCCCTTTCACCAGCTATAGCCCTCCCTCCCCTACCGGTGCCTGGAGCCCAGCTCCCCGATGGCACAGGTGGCACAGGTGGTGCACTGCCTGGACCGTTTCTCGCCACCCTGACGCCTTCAGTGTTTGCTGGAGATAGAGATAGCGCTTGAGGTGCCACAACAGCCAGGTTGAGGGGAAGTGAGCCCATGACGAGGTGGAGGCCCGCCCTGGGCAAACAAATCCCCTACAGCCTCTGTGTAGGCACCTGGTGTGTGAGAGATGGTCAGGTGGTGAAGGGGGGAGAGGGACTAGTGGGGACTTGCTCTCCCTGCCCCCCCACCCCCCCCCGCAGGCTCCTGAGCTAGGTCTCAGAATAGCTCTCGGGCACCGTGTGGCTCTGGCCAGGTTGTTGTTCCTTCTTGGGCTCAGCAAGGGGTAATAAACAGTTCTGGGCTGCCCTAGAAAAGCCAGGGAGGAAGGACCAGGGGTCAAAGGGAAGCAAGGAGGAAGACGGTCTGTCAGGCTGGGTTTTGTTGGCCATAGTCTCCCTCAATAGTGCTGTCCTGGTTCAGCAGCAATCAGATCTATGCCTGGGATCTTCTGGCCTTCAAATAAATCTCACTCCACGCCAGCCAGGACCCCATCAGGCTCTGGAGTCAGACAGCCTGGGCCCAAATCAAGGCTCAGCCCTTCAGGGAAGGTTGTGGATGTAGAACAAGTCACTTGGCCTTTCTAGGCCCAGTTTCTGGAGCTTGGGGGTGGTTAAGATTAAATAAGAGATCAGATATGTAGAGTCCCAGAGACAAGCCAAGACCAAGAATAAACAAAGTTCTTTCTAAAATACCCAAAGCCAGGACAAGTGTGGGGCTTTACCCGACTGAGAAGGATAGGCAGCTTGGATCCTGTGATAGGGGCTTCTGGAGGGTTTCCAGAGCCTAAGAAGTGATCCTCTCCCATTGCCTTGCAGTATTTCTGGTCTCTCCGCCCCCACTTGGGCACAGGCTTGTTATTTTCATAGCTTTCCAGTCCATTGCCCCCACCCAGGAGGGGGTAGTTTCAGGCCAAAGTCCCCCCACATTATAGGTAGGCAGACTGGCCCAGCCCCCAAGTCCTCCCTGAGTGCCCTCTTGGTCATCCCTGTTAGGCTCCCTCCCAGGCCTGAAATTCAAGTGAAGGAGGAATAGGCACCTACCTCCACCCTACTTTCCTTCTGCGACCTTTACCAGGGTGTTGTTGAGTCACTAGCCCCTCAGGAATCTGAGGCCAGGTTGGGCAAGGCGGGCCTGCCTCTCCAAGAATGCATGGAAAGAGTTCGAATGAAGACATTTTAATTGGGTAATGAGTTCTGAAGTGCCTTCTACCTCTCTGTCGGTGCCTGCTGATTTTACATGTGCCTGCGTGATAGGGTGTCGTTCTCTCATCCCCCAGAGGCCTGCTGGGGTCACCAAGAGCACCCCTGGGCCGGAGGGGCTGCCAAGGGTTTGAGGGACAGACTGGAAGCGTGGGCAGGCGAACCGGCTGCCTTAGAGGTTCTGACCCCGACCCCACCCATAGAAGGAAAAGTCAGGCACAGCCTGAAGGGGGCCATCCCCTATTTGGCCCCAAGTCCAGAGCAGCAAGGGCAGCCCACTCTGGCCCAAGTGACACCGTTGGATACTGTCCCCACCCCAGTCACTGCCGCGTGGCAGCACCAGGGTGCCTCTCCCCAGTTCTTAGGTGGCAGCAGGCGGTGGCGGAGGCAGAAGCAGACTTATTTCAGATTGCAGTACAGATACATGGACACAATCATGGCAGCCAGCTGGTGGGAAAGGAATGGGCTGAGGTGAGGGATGTGTTGAGGGCCCTTACGCTTTAGTCCCCTGCCTCCCGGATACCCTGCAGGAAGCTCCGGTAGAAGTCTGTCTCCTCCAGCAAGGCCTCCAAGATGGGTCAAGCAGCCTGGTCCAGTGGGGTTATCCTGCCCCCCTCCCACTCTGCACCCCCTTACCTCCAAGCCTCCAATTCCGGCTGCCACACCACCCACGGTGACTGCGTTGGTTTGGATATCATGCAGAAGCTGACTGAAACAACCCTTGGGGGAGAGGAGAGCAGCCAGTCAGCAGCTGCGCCCCTCCCTCATTCAGCACTTTGAGGCCATGAATGCAGCCCCCACCTTCCATGCCACACCTGTACATTCTCCTCCTTTGCCTTCTCCTCGGTGCAGGGTCCTGGGGCTGTGCCATTGCCATTGTCATTGTCGGAGCAACAGTACAGGGGAAAGGTACCGTTGTTCTTCATGAAGTAGGGAGAGTCCTCAAAGTCCGTGTAGTTGTTGAAGCCACAGCACTTGAGCTGAAGAGGAGGCAGGAAGGGTGATCAGCAGGGCCTTGCTTCTTTCCCCCCCCACCCCCAAATCTCCCCCAGCCCACCTTACCCCATCCATGGTGGTGTTCCACACTTGGGTGAAATCCTTCTGGGAACCGTAGTCATGCTTGATGGAGGACACTACCAGCAAGGTTAGGAAGTGCTCAGCCTGGAGGGGCGGGGGGCAGGCTAGCATGCTCAGGGCCTAGCCCGGGAAGGTGGCCACGCACAGGCCACAGCCCACTTGCAGGGCTCTTCCCCATCTCCCCCCTTGCCCCGCCCCCCACCGTGGTTGTTCGCCCTGCCCCCCCTCACCATGGTGGTGTACACCAGGGCAACCACAGCTCCTGCCACCTCTGCGATGAAGATGAGGAGGAGGATCAAGAAGAACTGGATGGGGAACAGAACGGTCCCTCATGCCTTACTTGTAACCCACCACCCAGTAAAAGGAGGCCGCGGCCCCCTCTACTGAGGGCCCTGGAGTCCAGAGCATGGTTTGGGGATCCCCAGGGCCTGGATTCAAGGGTGAGGGGACCCTGGGTCTCAGGTATGGGCCTGGGGAGCTGGGTTTGACACACCATCATGAGGGCACACTTGTTCTCAGTCTGAGCACCGTAGCAGCCCAGGAAACCGAGAGCAAAGAGCACTGCGCCCGCAGCGATGAGGAGGTAGCCCACGTTGACAAACTGCACGGCACTGGACGACAGCGGCCCGAAGATCTTCAGGAAGGACGGCCCATCGACTGACACCCAGATGCCCACGGCCAACAGGGCGACACCACACAGCTGGGGACAGAGAGGCAGGCCTTAAAGCGGTGTGGGCAAGCAGCTCCTTACCACGCAGTTGAGTCAGGAAGATGGAAAATGAGAAATTTCTCCTTTTATTGGCTAAGGAGTCTAAAAACTCATCCTGCAGGGAGGAAAAACATTCTGTAGAGCCAGAAGGATGGGAGCTGGGCCACCCATAGCCAGCACCAGGCTGCACACCAATGCAGATATAAATGGGATCGGGGGTTCTAGAAATATCCACAGGGATGGGGGAGGGCAAGGCAAGACTTTTCCCCACTGCTGTCAGGGTCCTGCCACATAGCTAGGAGGGAAGCGGGTGAGGCCAGCAGGGCCTCCCACCCCATTTCCTTGTGGAGTTGACCGCCTCTGTCCTGGGACAGGTGAAACAGTGGGGTGGAAGCCCTGAACAGGCTCACCAGTCACCATAGCAACAGAGGCGGGGCTGAGGTTTACACCTGCTTCCAACCATGGAATGGGACTGTGAGAAAGGACACCTACCTTGGGGCCCCATTTGCCTCCTCTCCAGGATCAAACTCCAGGCCTGCCCTTCATCTAACCTAGACCCCTCGTTGCCTCACTAGGAAAACTGAGGCACCAGAGGGGGAGTACAGCCGGGGCTTCTTTTAGAGGCTCTCTGGTTCAACCCCAAACCTCAGGGAATCCAGAGGCCCAGACGGGGGAGGAGGTACGCTGTCCAGATGCCACAGCTCTTAGAGCAAAGCCTTGCTGATCCAGAGCATCAGTGGATGAATCAGCCTGATACCACCTTGGTGCCCAGTCCCCAGCTGTAGAAACTGAGGCTAGAACCAGGAGTGAGACGGCAGATTGTGGCTAGATCCCAGGCATGTTTGCTCAAGGACAGAAAGCTGGGGCCCCAGCCTACAGGGTCAAATTTCAAGGAGCCTGAGACCTTCCCTGCCTTGCCCAGCCTGGCAAAGCCTGAGCAACAGAGGCCAGAAACCAAACCGGATTTGCCTTTAACCCCCTCGGGCCAGAACACCTGCTCTCCGTATTGCTGGGATCCCTCTGCCTTCCCCAGATATATGGATAAAGGCTACTTCCCTGAAGCCAAAAGAAGCCCAAGGCATGCACCATATCGGAGTCAGAGAGGTAACATACCCGTAGCCCAGTTTCTCCAAATCCCTCTATACTACATGTCTCCACCTCCTCACCTTCCACTCACTCTAAGCCACTCTAATGTGGCTCCAAGGTCTGTAGTGCCATCCTGCGCTAAATCGGGTGGGCACTTTGTGTGCCATACCCTCCTGACCTCTCTGAGATCGTGATCTCCTTGTTTTCCTCCTGTTACCCTTTATCTGCTTCCTGGTGGCCATTTCTCCACATATCCCTTGTAAGCTGGGTTTCGCTGAACTCACTCAGCCTGAGAGCTCTTTACCCACTCCCATGGTTTCGCTGATTATTTGTGGCCATGTGACTTCCAAATATCCATGTCCAGCTCCAACCAGAGCTGCAACCCCATTGGGTACGCAGCTGCCGGGGAGACATCCCCTGGGTTGCTCAGACCAGAGACATGGGCTTTATCTTCGAAGCCTCTGTTTCCCTTGCCCCTCCTTCTGTCCCTCAGCCAGCATCTGAGGGCTTTTTCTTAGTCCATTTCTCCTCATCTCCACCACCATCTCCAGGGTCATGCCTCATTACTCAGCTTCCTCAGACATGCCCCATACAGTCTGTTCCTGGTTTCCTGAACAATACCTGATTTCATTGCCTCTGGGCCTTTTTGCATGCTTTACAACCCCTTCACCCAGCATAAATGTCCAGTCTCAGCTATTTCCTCCAAACAGTCTTCTCTGACCAGGGTTCAAGCCCCTCCTGGGGGCTCCCATAGCCCCTGTGCTAAGGCCAGGCATTGCATGTTGCAACTGTCTGCCTATCTGGCCTGCTGGACCTGAGATCCTCAAGGGCAGAGAAAGAGCTCACTCACCTTTCCCCCAGCACTTAGCACAGAGTCTTAGGCAATAAATGTTTGTTGAATGAATAAGGGTTGCTTTAGGTAGACTCTCTGCTCTGAGGTCCCTGGGCATCTCTCCTTTCAATTCCCCGTCCACCCTACAGAGGCCACTGAATTTCCTTGTACACTAGGTAAACTTGGGCACACCTCTTCCCCTCCCTGGGCCCCCAATGCCTATAAAACGGGGACATCATTCCTGTTAGCCTCTCCTACCCTGCCCTAAGTCGGGTCTGAAGCTTCCTGGGAAGGAGGAGCTTCTCCTAAGCTTCTCTACCCCAACTTATGTGGCAGCCAGGCTGCTCCTGAGACCAGAACTCAGCATTTGGGGAGACTTCTGCACCTTGTCATAATGGGAAACTTGCGCAACAGAGTCTGGGCACAGCGATCTCCCATTTCCCAGCTTGAGCTCTGCTTAGGTTGTGACCCACTGCCACAGGGAGGCCCAAAAATCCCACAACCCTCATACTTACAAAGATGAGGAAATTGAAGAGGATCATCATGGTTTTAATGAAGCTGAAGCACTGCATGGTGGCTCCTGGGAGGCAGACAAGTGTGAGTTAGGAATTCGTGCCGCCCGTCTCCACTGTCACCTGGGCTAGCCCTGGCATTTGGACCCTGACATACGAGACCCCAGCATCCAGGACCCACAAATCACCCAAATTCCCCCGCATCTAGCCTCTGACACCTCGGGACTTTTCCTAAGTCCTATCCTGACACCTCTGCCTCTCTGTAGGGCTCAGGCCCTCTCCCAGCGCCTGACACTCAGATACTGACACCCCAGGTTTCTCCACTGGCACCGCAAGCCCAGCCCCCACAGCACAGGTCACTCCACGCCCTTCCTTGGCACCTACATATCCTGGACCCCTCCACCAAACCAACCCTGGACTCTCAGGACCCTCCCCATTTGCCTTCCAGCTTCCCAAACCTGTTTTCAGGTTGATTTTACTTCATAGGACTATCTCTATCCTGTGCCATCACCTGTTCAGTGCTCTTGGTAGTGAGTTCTGAAGGAACTGAAGGATCTGCTGAGGCTCCAGAGGGGACAGACTACTCCAGGGATTTGCCACTTGAGCGGGCAGGCCGTGAGACGGAGCTGGCTCTCGGGCACTGCTGCTCACCTGCAGGTGGGGCAGGAGTTTTAAAGTCCTCTGCTCACCTTCCCACCTGCCCCACCCCGCAGCCAGTCAGCTTCTTTCCCTGCTGCCCCCTGCTGCCTGGAGATCTGTCCCCATAGCCACAGGCCTTGTTGGCCTAGCAACGCCAACCACAGCAACACCCTTCCTGATCTGAAGAAGGAAGAGAAGTCGGAGGGTAAGCAAGCGGCCCCCAGAATCTCTGAGTGCTCTCCACCGCAACGGCCCCCAGAATCTCCAAGTGCCCTCCACCGCAACGGTGCATGGATGCTTTCTAGCCGACATCTGCTGATCCATTCATCCATACCCCATGTGCTCATGGGCACACACATCTGCACACACAGATACATACATAAACACCTACCCGTGCTCATGCGTGCACACACGCACACATGCCTCACACACACTGCACTGTGTGTGGACTGACTCCCGGCAAGTAAGAAACCACAAAGCAACATCCAAGGGACATACTTAAAGTCTCTCTGTCTCTGTCTCTCACACACACTCTCAAGCACACACACACACTTTCAAGGAAGTGACCCAGGTTTAGCAGCTTCTACCCCCTCCTCTGAGTAGCATGTGACTCCTAGACCTTTTCCCTCTATAAAATTTCAATTTCCCCATCTTTTTTCTCCCTTCGTCTTTCCTCCTTACCCGCCTCCCTCCCCTTCCTTTCTCTTGCTTCCTCCCCCATTCAGTGTTCTTAGCAATCTGTCAAGCACCCCTTTCCTTTCTGCCAGAAGGTGGCACCATGATCCCACAAAAGCATCACCCCCAGTTCTAAAACTTCGCAGTCCCAGTCTACATGAATTCCTCAAGGGCTTCATTTGAACCCCTGCCTGCCTCTTTCCACTCCAACGCTCCCACATCGAGGTGCTGCGGAAGTTCTGGCTTTGGAGTCACTCAGGCCAGGCACTCCCATGCTGGTTCTGATGCTTCCTAGCTGTGTGACCCCAGGGTGGGGGGATTTCTTAAGCTCAGTTTTAAGCCTGTTTCCTGGTCTATATAACAGAATAGTTATAAGGATTTTATATAAGATTTTCTCCCCACTCTGGGAAAAACGGGAATGACCACAGACTGGGAAAGTCAGAGTAGGGAGAGTCATAGCCAGAGGGGGTGTGGGATGGACAAAGGGGACTTTTACAATTTTTAAAAAATTTGAATATATTTGACACTAATTTTTGTTTCTTATAATGGGAGGAAGCAGCTGAAGAAACGGGGGGGGGTCAATAATGCTAATATCTGTGTAGATCGTGTTTTAAATGCATTACATATATGGTCTTTTCCCCCCTCTTCACAATAATCCTATGAGATAGATTCTCTTTTTCCCCCTTTTTATTTATTTTATTTATTTTATTTTTTTTAAAGATTTTATTTATTTATTTGACAGAGAGAGACACAGCGAGAGAGGGAACACAAGCAGGGGGAGTGGGAGAGGGAGAAGCAGGCTTCCCGCCGAGCAAGGAGTCCAATGCGGGGCTTGATCCCAGGACCCTGGGATCATGACCTGAGCCGAAGGCAGACGCTTAACGACTGAGCCACCCAGACGCCCTTTCCCCCTTTTTAAATATGGGGAAACAGAGGTACGGGAAGGTTAAGTACTTGCCGTGATCACACAGCTTGTAAGTGCGAATCCAGGATTCACCCCTAGTCAGTCTGGTGCCAGAGTCTGTATCTTAACCACCAAGCAGACTGTCTTTCGTGATGGAATCTCTAAGAAGGCAGGAGGAGCTCACTTCCAGAAAGAACAGGAGAGGAGGCCTTGGTCTGGGGCTTGAGGAAGAAAATGGCAAGGGCAAGTGGGTTTACAGGAGTAGTGGCTAGAAGTTGATGGGAGCAAGGTCCATTTTCTAAGACTAAGGATGGCAAGAGTAGAAGAGGGAGGGGAAGGTGGTGTAGGGCCTTTAAGGGTGGTGCCCAAACCCTCCTTGCAGGTTCCTACAGGACCAGAGAAAAGATGGAGGCTGGGAAGGAGGGCTGGAGGTGGAGTAAGAGGGAAAGAGAGAGGGGGCTGAAGTCCAGTGTTCCACAACAACTCAGTGCAAGTCCTGGCGGAGCCACTGACATTCCTGTCTGCTACAAGAAAGCGTTGACACAGCTTACATTCCGCTAGGGACCCAGCTGTTCCTCCACCTGCACTAATGAATGGCTTTCTCTTTCCCCTCAGGAAGACTTGGAACCAGGTCACCTCCATCTATGACTTCAGTGCCCAGCACACATGAAGTTGTTAGTGAACAATTCCTGAATGATTGAATGAGTAAATGAGCGTAGAACAGCAAGAGTTAAATGTCTGGGCTTTGGACCGTAGCCATCATGGATGGGAACCCCTGCCTGCCTCTAATTGTGTGACCTCACCTAACTGAGCCTCAGTTTCCTTATACAGTCGATCCTCATTATTCATGGCTTCCATATCTGTGAATTTACCTACTCACTAGAATTTATTTGTAACCCCGCGCCAATACTCATGTCACTTTTGTGGTCATTCGTGGACATTTGCAGAGCTGCAAAAATGTTGAGCTGCCCCATCCACATGTTCTCAGCTGAGGCTGAACAAGAGGATTCTCTGCCTCCTTGTTTCACCTCTTATAATGTACACCTGTTCTTCTTGTGGTCTATTCAATGTCACATTTTTCCCATTTTTGTACTTTTGGTTAGTGATTTTGCTGTTTATCAAATACTGCTGAAGTGCTGTCTAGTGTCTCTGAGCGCAAGAAGGCTGTGATGTGACCTACGAGGAAGTATGTTAGATAAATGTCATCCAGGTACAAGTTAGAGTGCTGTTGGCTATGAGTTCAATGTTAATGATTCAACAACAATATAGTTTAAATTAGGTATCTATAAACAGAAACACACATAAAACGAGGTCATGTTCTGATTGATCAGTTGACAAAAATGTTATGACCCGAGGCTGGTAGGAATCTAACCCGATAGGTACATTGGCTCGATTTGCTAATGCGCTATTTGTGGTGGGGACTTTATTAGACCATAACTACTGTGAATAATGAGAATTGACTGTATATGAAATAGGAATAACGATAGTCTCCTTGTAAGATTGTTGTGGGATTAATGAGAGACTGTAGAGTACTGGGCGCTCTTTGGCACACAGTAAATGCTTAAGAAACGTTGTTAATATTGTCCCTGTGGATAAATGAGAAAGGGAGGGAGTAATTTTCCCCTACTCAGAGTTCCTTTTCCCTGGGGGCCAAGCTGAGGTTTTTCTGGCCCTTGGGCTGGACCCATTGAGAGAACCCTGAGGGAGCCTGACCCACAGGGAGGGGCGGGGGACCAGGACCTCTAATAAAGAGCACTACCCTTATGCGGACTATGTCACAGAGGCCCCAGCTGCCCTAGCCAGGAGCACCCTCAGGCACACTACAGAAGCTCCCTGTGCCCATGGGGCCTTCTCAGCCTGTCCGTGCCCCTCGGCCCCGGGGCCTAAGTTCCCCCTACCGCAGGCCAGGGCTGGGCTGGCCTCGGCCTCGAAATCCCAGGATGTTCAAGTGTAGCCGCAGAAGGTACCGGCAGAAACCCCAAGGCCCAGCTGCCACCACTGCAGCCACCAATCCTGCCACCGTGGCCACAGATATCAACAACACTCCTACCACCACCACCAGTGTGTGGATCCTTCCGCCACAAAGTTAGCCAAGGGCCCTGAGGCGGGGTGGGGGTTGGAAAAACCAGGGCCATTCGTTTCCCCCAACTTAGCCCTGACTAGGCACTCTAGGGGACATACGCTGTGTGAAATACCACCCCCAAAATATGGTGGGGTCTTGATGGCAGAGTCCTAAAGGCTGAGAGCCTTAATGGAGGGTGTATTGGCTGAGAGTGGAGGGCCTGGGGAACTGTGAATCTAAGAACAGTGGAGCTTCCAGAACTGCTGTCTTCCTCACACTCTTCCCTCTCCTTCCTCTCCTCAGTTCTCAGACACCTTTGTCAACCCGGCAGCTTTTTGATCTTCTAGAAATGTCCAGAAACTAGTCCAGAAGCTTGGCTGGCTCCGGACCTGCATCTTCTAGGGGCCATGAGTGGTTGACAACAGGCAAATACAATCATTTCTGCTCCAACGGCCTTACTCCACTCCAAGGTGTTTCCAGACAACTATGCGGGGTACAAGGGCAGGGCTGGGGCTGAACGCTCCCCGGGACAGGCTTCAGTGAGGACAGATGGGATCACAGTTAGACAATGGAGGGACAGGACAAGGTCAGCAACACAACATTTCTCCGTCTTTGGCCTCAGCTATTGATCCGCCCCATGAGGTAGGGGGCCTTCCTGCATTGCACAGGGAAAAGGGTCTCCATAGACATCTTGGAAGTTATAGAGAGCCAGATCCTTGAGGAGGGAGGTAGAGGCATGGATCAGACAGGGATGGCATGAGAGATTTCAGGGCTTGAGTCTAACTCCAAGAGCACTTCAATGTGAGCTGTATGTGGCTCTATGCCTGCGACGGTGAGCGTGCAGATGTAGATGTCGGTGTGTGTGTGTGTGTGTGTGAGAGAGAGAGAGAGAGAGAGAGAGGCCAGGACAATGGGACTGTGAGCAGATATGTGGCTGAGTGTGCCTCTTCAATGGGTTGTGCCTCTGTGGCCGGCAGAGCATCAGGTATATTCGTAAGGGTCTGGGTGTGCCAGAGGGAGGCATGGCTGAGAGGAATGAAGGTCAGGAATGGGGTGCGGGCAGCCTGAGGCAGGAGAGGGTTGCTTCTGAGGAGGGCGGGCCACCTTCGCCCCCTAGCTATTCCCTGAGGCCAGTGTGTTCCAGGACTGTCAGCTGAGCCTCCGCGGTTAGGGGTGGGGCAAGACTGAGTTGAGTCCAGAAAGGGGGAGGGTGCTGAGCACTCCGGCCTGGGGATTTTCCATTTGGATTTCTGAGTGTGTGCCCATGTGTCATCAGGTGTAACTGGGTTGCTGTGGGGTGTGTCTCCATGGAGCTGTGTCTCAGTGGCGGGAAACACTGTGAGGGACTCTTCTGTAACGTGTCACTGTATGCGTGGGTGTGTGTCCGGGGCTCCCTTCCCTAAGGGTTGGGGGTGGGAGTGAAGCCTGAGAGCCTGGGCTTGGCCCTCCTCTCCCCCCCAGGGTTCAGGAAGCCTGTGAGGAGAAAATGAATTGTGTTTGTGTCCTTCAACTCCAAGGCTTGCCGGGACCCTGAGAGGAGGGACAGGACAGAGAAGTCACTGACACTTTGCACACAGACTGTGCAGGCTGGGGGATGAGGCTCAGCAGGGTATGGGGGAAGTGGCGCTGAACCTCAGTCAAAGCAGGAAGGTGGCTGGGCTAGCGCCCAAGGCCCACAAAGGGGCCCACACGTTTAAAGACACATGTCACAGTCCATGAACATATGCAGACGTGTAAGTAGAAGTAGACTCACAGACACACAATGCAACAAATACAGGTGCATGCAAATACAGGCTTATAAACAGAGCTGCACACTGCCACTGATGCACATGGACCTCCCCAGTTGGCATATGTAACCACACATACACGTCCCTATGAAAGAACGCACACAGACGTAAACATGCTTGCATCTCGACAAGCACATAAGCATATAGACAGACACACGTGCAATCACACTCATACAAACCCAGACACACCCACACACGCAGACACACTCACCAGACTTCCCTGCCCGGCCCTGGAACCCAGAAGCTTCCCTCCCCTATAAGAATGTGTGTGTGTGTGTGCGTGTGTGTGTGCGTGCGCCCCCACTTGTGTCTGTGTGTATCTGTGTCTGTGAGAGTGTGTGTGTATGTGTGTGACTGGGGGGGGTGCTGAGCTGTGGGAACCTGATGACATCATCTCTTCTGGCTATTTTTAGCTCCCTCTGCAATGGCTCCTCCGCGGCCCCGCCCCTTCCAGGCTCCCGGAGGCAGCCGCAGCCAGAGGGCACCCACCACTCCAGTCTAGGTGACCCCTGACTGGGTACAGCTCACTCGTTCCCACCCCACCAGAGCTCCCTGGAGGTTGAGAATACCAGAGGAGGAGGCTTGGGCCATGTGGCAGCCTGGAACAGGGGCCTGAATTAGGTGAGCAGACCTGGCTGGTCTCCAGCTACTAGGGTGCCTCCGCTTCTGCTTTTCAATCTGAAACTCTGTCTCCATCAGTAGTGCCTGCCATGTGCCAGGGAGGGTGCCAAGTTCTGGAGATAGAGCAGTGTGCAAGACAGCAGGAGTTCTTCCTGGTGGGTGTTACAGCTCAGTGGGAGACAGACATTAAACAGATCTCACAGGCACTGCACCAAACTGTGTCAAGGACTCTGAACGTTGGTAACAAGGGGATTCGGTCTGGGATGATGCTCTCTTTCTATCTCATGGAGATAACCTGAGGAAACCAGAGGGGTACCCTCCCTGACCTTGCACCTTCCACCCCAAAAACCACACTCCAGAATTCCACAGAGCAGAGCTTCCTCCTCACACCCCAGGCTGTGCCCCCAACATTGCCCCAACCCACCCTCCAAGCGGTGGCCCCTCACGATTCATGGCCACCTTTCTTTGGAACCTCCGCCCCCCGCCCCCCCCCCATTGACCCCTGGGAGCCAGTCCTTAGTCCTCCATCTATGGATGAGAAAAGCAAAACTCTGAGAGGAGTAGGGCTGGACCACACCTCCTGGTGCCCAGGCGGCAACTCAAGGAGATGGCAGGCCCAGGGAGGAAGAAGTGGTGGCGGCACAGGTGCGGGGGGCGGGGGGGGGGGGGGGTTGGGGTCAGGAGGGGAGGAGGACTGTGGCCCGAGGGGTCCTTGCCCAGAGCAGGCTTCCTGCTCCAGCCAGCCTCTGGGCAGCCACCGGAAAATCGGGTTTGGCAGCTTGGGCCAAGCGCCCAGGGGCTGGAGGAGGGGTCCAGGCATCTCTGGGGAGGATGCCTGGGGGCGGGCTTATCCTCCGACCCAGAGTCCGGCCAGGCCCCAGGCCAAGCTGTCCTGTTGGGGGAGCATTTTGTAATACTGGGACCCTTTGGAGTGTGGGGGGAACAGCTCTGGGCTGGAAGCAAGAGGCCGGAATTCCAGTCCTTGTTCTGCCCCAAACCTCAGTGTGATCCTTGGAAAGTGCTGCCCCCTTTCTTGGCCTGAGTGGGCCCTCCCAGGAAGGAGCGCTGGAGGACTACTTTCCCTATCCCCAATTCCTGACCTCTGGGTTTTCCTGGGAGTCTGACTAGGGCAAAGAAACACAAAGTTTGTGTTTGGGACAATGGGTTGGGATGGGAACAGACTGCCCCCAGGGCACCAGGCTGGAGGTACCTTGTCACCAATGGGTCAATGGCCGGAAGCCTAGCTCCAGCCCTACAATGCTATATGGGTCACCCCACCCTTACCAGTACCCTCACCCACACCCCTACTTCCGTCCTCTGTTCCTTCCTCACCTTCAGAGAAAGCTACTGGGCTCCCTGGGGAATCTCCCATACCTACTCCATTGGCTCCCTGCCCTGTGCTCAACCCTCCCTCCCCCTCTGCCCACTTGACGGGGCCAGTCTCCCAGTAAACTTTCTGTCCCTGGATCCTGGGGCAGGCCCGGGAGGAAAGGAAGCTGGGTGGAAGGCCTGCACAGGAGCCTGCTTTTCCTGCTACCATCAGATACTTGAAGCCCAAATGAGGGGGTTGGGAGGAGGAGGGTGGACTGAGTGCTGGGGCCTAGGACAGGGCTGCCCTGGCATATTCCAGCCCCAGGGGAAGTGGGAATGTTACCCTTTACCTATCCAACAATCTTCCTGTGCCTTCAGCAAATTCAGAGAAGAGAGCCCAGAGCTGAGGCTTGCTTCCTCTGGAAAACAAACAAAAACCCAGGACAAGTGAGTCCTGCTTGTAGTCACTAAGTCAGCGATAAATTCATGAAAACACAAAACCCATAAAATTCTAAATGCATAGAATCCATAGTCATGGAATCTTAGCATCACAGAATTCTAGCATGGTGAAATCTGAGTTACAGAGTCAGAAATATAGAATTCTGGCATCACTGATTCCCAGATCACAAGGTTAGAGTATCCTCGAATAGGGAAGTCTTTTTTTTTTTTTAAGATTTTTTATTTATTTTTTTGTCAGAGAGAGAGAGCACAAGCAGGGGGAGCGGCAGGCAGAGCAGGTAGAGGGAGAAGCAGGCTCTCTGCCAAGCAAGGAGCCTGATGTGGGACTCGATCCCAGGACCCTGGGATCAAGACCTTAGCCAAAGGCAGACGCTTAACTGACTGAGCCACCCAGGTGTCCCTCGAATACAGAAGTCTTGAGAAATCAATTAGTGAAGTCTTCACCTTCAGGTGGATGTCTAAACTACAGGATGGGCATTGGGGATGGGCAAAGGAGTTCACGCATGAACACTAAGGAGGAGGCAGAGAGCTCAGGACACATGAGCTTAGGATAAGAAGCCTGCAACAAACCAGACAGAGGACAGACATCTTCCATGAGGACACATTCTTGGTTTCTAAGGATGAGGGGAGTGGGGTGGCAGGAAGGGGGCACAGAGAGGGGAACTATAGAAACAAAGAAAACAGAGCCTGAAGAAAAGATTATCAAGTAGCCTAATACACCAGCCACAATGCCTCCCGATTTCTCCATGGTTGGGTTTAACACCAGCCCAGGACATTTTCCAAGATTAGTAAGACTCCTTATCACATTGGAACGGCAAGCCACATCTGGCTTTTTTGGGAAGGAA